CCGAACTTACTAATGGTTTCATTAAATCGCATATTCCAACTTCTGCTTGCTTGCTTTAATCCATAAATGGATTTCTTAATCTTGCATACCTTTCCAGCGTTGTTTTGGTCAACAAAACCTTCAAGATGTGTCATATACACAGTTTCTTCCAAAATACCATTAAGGAAGCCAGTTTTAACGTCCATCTGCCTTATTTCATAATTGTAATATGCAACAATCGCTAGGAGGATCTGAACAGATTTAAGCATTGCGACTGGAAAAAATGTTTCATCGTAATTAATACCATGAACTTGTCTATAAAATTTTTCTACCAATCTAGCTTTGTAAATGAATATATTTCCATCTTTGTCGGTTTTCAACTTAAAAATCCACTTACATCCGATAGGTGTGTAGCCTTCGGGTAAGAAAACCAAGTCCCAGACTTGATTTTCTAACATGGAATCCATTTCAGATCTCATGGCCTCTTGCCATTTAGTAGAGTCGGTGCTTGCCATCGCTTGCTTGTAGGTTGCCGGTTCATCTCCATCCATGATTAGGATGTCTTGATTCTCAGTTAAAACTAAACCAAGGTATCTATCAGGTTTAGATCTCGTCCTCTAAGACCTACGTAGGGTAATGGATTGAGCATTTGCATTGTTGGTTCGATTTTGCATGTTTTGATCACTTTGACATTTGTCAACAGATGTTGTTTGAGCACTTTGACTGTCATTCTGATTTTGTTGCTCATCCTCACGAACTTCGTTGAGTTCGATTTTCCTCCCCCTTATCATTTTGGAAAGGTTCTCCTTCTCCAAAAAGACACCATCGCGAGCAATAAACACTTTGTTCTCCGATTTGTTGTAGCAGTAATACCCTTTGGTTTCTTTTGGGTAGCCCACAAAGTAAACCTTATCAGAGTTGGGATGAAGTTTTTCAGAAAACAATATCATGACATATGCTTCGCATCCGCATATCTTTAGAAAAGTCCACCTAGGAGGTTTCTTCGTCAATAACTCGTATGAAGTCTTTTCTACAACTTTCGATGGAGCACGGTTTAGTGTTAGTGCCGCATTTAAAAGTGTGTGTCCCAAGAGTGAGATAGGAAGATCATTAAGACCCGTGGTTGTTCGTACCATGTCTAACAAGGTTCGATTTCTCCGTTCCATTGTGGAGTTCTGATGAGTGTCATTTATGGCACTCATAGGGTAGTATTTTAGGATGTTTTCACCCTATTTTTCATGGTTTTCTTTTATCATTTTGGTCTTTTCTCTTTTAGTTTCTCTATTTCTTCTTCATTGTGTTTTAATTTCATTTATGTGGTTTTCTTCGTGTTTCCCTTTTATATTGCTCTTTTTCTCTTCTATGTTCTCTCTATGGTTGCTTTTGTAGGTATTTAAGGAGTTGGCTTTGCAAAGGAATCAAGAAGAGAAAAAAAAGAGCCAAGCTAAGAAGAATCAAGCTCCTTGGAGAGGGCTTGGAGAGGGTGCTCTGCATCTATTCATTACCGAGCGGGTCCTGAGGGCCGCGGGCGCGGAAAAAGTGCATCAAGTTGATGATTTTTTGCAGGAACTCTCCGCGCCCTGGCCGTGGTCTAGCCGCGGGCGTGGAGAATCTGGAGAGACCGCTCCCCTTGGAGAGATCGCGACCCTCCTTTCTACACTTGGAACATGGCATCTGCCGCGCCCTTAGCCGCGGGCCCAGGTGTCTTCGCCGCGGGCGCGGGCTACAGTACCAGCGACCGCGAGTCTTGCCCAGATTGCATGCGGAGTTAGTTATAGGTTCCGTACCCATTTCTCCGCACCTGCGGGATATTCTTGGAGAGGGCGCGGCCGATCAGTTTTTCTTCTTTGTCTATAAATGCTCTTGTACATCATTTTGAAGGCTAACTTTTAAATAATATTTTATTTGCTTAGTTTTTAGAGAGAGAAACTAGAGAGAAGTTAGATAGAAAGTAGAGATTAGAATTCTTGGATTTAATTTGTATTACAACATTGTTTCAATCAAGTTTGGATTTGTTCTTCATATCAATGAAAGTTTGTGAGATTTCTTTCCTTTGAATTTACTTCAATTGCAGTTTTCCTTAATGCTTGAATGTTTGATTTAGATTTTGATTTAGTTTTGAGAATTTGTTGATTGATTGATTTTCCTTTTGATTTATCTTGAAATGAATATGTTTGTGATTGAGTTTGTTTTGTCTTTCAATTTCACCATGATTAGTGAGTAGATTAGTTGCTAGGGAGAAGGGAAATCATGCTTGATTGATGATTTTTGCTAGTTGATGATCATTGATTGATTGAATTGTTGCAATTAAATTGGTTGACATAGTTGTGCATGTGATTAATTAGACTAGGAGTGTACCTATAAGATTAATCTAGATTGCATTGCAAATTTCAATGACATGAACCCTTGATTTGAGAATTGCTTTAATTGATTGAATTTGATTGTGATTCTCCATGTTAGCCATTCATAGTGAACCCTAGCTTGGTTTATAATAGATAACCTTTGAATTCCTTTGATTGCAACTATTGTTTGTCCCTTGTAATGTTTGAATCAATTGAGTGATCTATCAATTAGCATAATCATTGAGCTTGCATGTGGAACCTATATCCCTAGTTTTAGCGTATTGATTGAATTCCTTGATTTGTCTTGAGTCTTGATACTTTTGTTACTGTAGACATCTACTTTTGGCCTCCTGTCCCGATAGAAAGTGCAATGACGATAAATAAAACCATCTTCGTGTTGGATCGAAGTGAAGAATACTTATGGAGAACTGATTAAGCAACAAAACACAAAAGACTAGCTCGAATTAAAGATAAAAGCTAAAACAAAGGTCCAATTAATTAAACCCAATCATAATTAGGTTTAAGCCCATGCTTAAAACCCAATAATGACGGGTTTAGGAGCGCCTAGGTTAAATTTTAATGCTGCCGCAGAAAAAGTCGCGCGCATCTCAAACAGTCGCGCTAGGCTACCGCGCGCAACTAATTCAGTTGCGCACGACAACCAGCAACCTCCAGAGTAGTGTTGCGGAAGATTCAGAATTATACGAAAAATATAAAATCGAATCTTACCATAAAGCCACGCGCAAGACAATTAGTTGCGCTTCCCGTAGCAGCGCAACATAATCACTTGCGCTGGGTTACCACGCCCAAATCATTCTGTTGCGCGCGACACCTGCTGATGTAGAATGCTCGTAACCCTAAACCTATTCATTCCCTATAAATAAGAGCTTAAACCGAGGCTTAAACACACAGAAAAATAACCTAAAAATCTATCGAAATACTTTTGAACTTGTGCTACCTAAACCCTCTTGTCCTAAACACTCACTGTTGGACTTAATGATTTTGATGATGACACAACCTCACTTACTTACAAACTAATAAGAGCTTGATTGTTTAAGTGTGTACTCAGTTACGAAGACTAGGAGAATGAAGTGTCTTGTAAAAATACCATGAGGAACAAGAAGGCCAGAAGCAGAGCTAGCCATAGAGAAGAGTTCCCTTACAGGAACTGGCGCTTCAGAAATGAAGACTGGAGAAGAGAAGTTCCTTCCAAGGAACAGAAGCCTTGGAGTAGAAGCTTCATCAGAGAAACATGAAGACTAAATATTTTATATATCTTAGGATTTATGTAAGTATAAGAAAGTTAGTTACACTCGAAAAAATCATTATGGAATTGGTCTTAGGATAAAATATTGTGCATGCTAGTTTTTAGGAAAACTATTGCAATTTAAATTTTATCTTTTTCTTAAATTAAAAAGATTTTATTTTTTTTTCTTATTTTCGGAAAATGTTTTTAACAAAATAAAATCTCCACGTTTTCTCTAAACTTGCGGCCTACTCTCCCATGTTCTTCTTCTAGACATGGTCTTGCACATTGAGGTGTTCATGGTCCCTTAATTTTAGGGACATGATCTTCTTAGTGGGTATGAGAAGTGGCGTAATGGATTTGCTGCACAAAGAAGTTTTTCCTAAACAAATTTTGGTCTATAAATAGTTGTTGATTTTAGATGGAAAATCTCACCCTTTGCTCACATAAGTTTTCATCTTTTATTCGAGTTAAGAGTCCAATTCCATACAAGTCTATTAGAGTGTTCTAAATGTTCTTATACTAGAGTTTGTTTTTCTTTCGAGTTGTAATTGGGAATGGGGAAGTTCGAGTGAACGTTTGTGTATGAGAAAGAGAAGAGAGAGAGAAAAGAGAAAGAGAAGAGAGAACAGAGAAGTGAGAAGAGAGAAAGAGAAGAGAAGAGTAACAAGTTGGGTGACTTGTTCCTCAGGGCCTCAAGTTCGTAGAGGAACTTCAGTTTGAGTCTTTAGCTTGTAATAGGATCATTTGTCCTATTATAGTGAAGATTCTTTTCCCAAAATCCCAAGTGGTTGTGGTTTTTCTCCTTGTTAGGGCCAAGGAGTTTTCCACGTAAAATCTCTCTTGCATTCTTTAGTTCCTTTAGTTAATCTCTCAGTTCCTTTAGATAACTTAAGTTTAATTCCGCAAAAAGTTTGGCTAAATTCTCATACTACAATTCAACCCCCCCTTCTTGTAGTATTCGTTAAAACAACAATTGGTATCAGAGCCTAACTTCTAGGAAAATCAGGAAACCCTGAAGAAGAAAGGTCTTGGAGAAAATGAATACTCATGAGAAGCTCGAGGAAGGATACTCAACACAGAGGCCTCCTATGTTCAACGACAAGTTCTATACTTACTGGAAGAACCGCATGGAGATCTTTATCAAGGTAGAGAACTACGAAGTCTGGAGGGTCATCGAGGTTGGTGATTTCGAAGTCACCAAAACTAATGCTCAGAATGAGGTAATCCCTAAGCCTATGTCTGAATATGAAAAAGAGGATTTTGATAAAATGGAAATAAATGCTATGGCTGTGAAATTGCTCCACTGTGGACTTGGACCTCACGAACATAATCGTGTTATGGGGTGCAAGAACGCTAAGGAAATCTGAGATTTGCTGCAGATTACTCATGAAGGAACTAATGAGGTTAAACGCTAAAAAATCGATCTACTTATGTCCAAGTATGAAAGATTTGAAATGCAGCCTAAGGAAACCATTCAAGAGATGCTAACCCGTTTTACTAACATCATAAATGAGTTGGTTTCCCTTGGTAGACAGATTCCTACAGATGAGCAGGTTAGGAAGATTCTTAGAAGTCTTCCACAAGATGAGAGGTGGAGAGCTAAGGTGACAGCCCTTCAGGAAACGAAGGACTTTACCAAGTTCAATATTGAACAACTAGCAGGTTCTCTCATGACTCATGAGCTACACCTTGGAGTCAACAATGAACCCATGGGGAACAAGGGATTGGCTCTTAAGGCGGATGAGGAGGAAGACTCAGAAGTGGACGAGGATGAGGCTGCCCTAATTGTGCAAAGATTCAAAAAGATGTTCAAGAAAGGCCGAACCTCAAGGAACTTCGGGAAAAAGACCTCAAATCCAAAGCCTGATTACAGCTGCCACAAGTGTGGATCCCCAGATCACTTTATCAGAGACTGTTCCCTTTGGGAAAAATTCAGCAAAGCAAACTATCAGAAGTCAGACATGAGGAAGGCCATGATAGCAGCCTGGGGAGACTCAGAGAGTGAAGAAGAAGATGATGACCAGCCAAAAGAGGAGACGGCCAATCTTTGTTTGATGGCCAAATCAGATGATGAAAAATCTTACCTTGAGGAACTCCAGAAAGAGGTATTTCTTGATCCTAAACAGCTTAAAACTCTCTATAAAGATGTCTTAATAGATATATGTCTTGAAGAAGAAGAATTCTTTAGAGATACATGTGTAAAGTTGAACAAATGTGAAAAAGCTCTTAAGGTTTGCAAAGAACATGGTGCTTGGTTGGAAACAACCTATGCCAAGTCTCAAAGAAAATTAAGAGAGCTTGATTTTAAATACAAACACATAACTAAGATAGCTGATAGGATTAAGAATGAAAGTATTCTTCTGAATGTTGAATTAACTCAGTATAAGCTCATACATTCTGATATCAGTTCTAGCAGTTCCTCAAGCAATCAGTTGCTTAAATTCAATGTTGATTTTGAAAATTTGAAAAATGAGCTTTCTACTTTAAAAACTCAAAAGGATCAACTTGAATCTGAACTGAATGCTAGAAAGGATAGATTTATTGACCCAAAAGTTATACCTAAGTGGATAGCTGAAGCTCAAGGAAAAAGAATTGAAGGCCTTGGCTATATGACCAAGAGGAAAGGTAAGCAAAAGAAATATGTTGAGCTTCCTAGCATGAAGGTATGCACTTTTTGTGGTAAGTCTGGACATCTCTATGGACAGTGTAGGATAAGAGAAGAAGCTGATAAAAGAAATGTAAAACAAGTGTGGGTCAAGAAAACTGATATTGCATCCACGTCTAAGGAACCCAAGGAAACCTGGGTTCCTGATCCTAATGCTTAGTTTTCTTGCAGGTCCTAGTGAGGGGGAACAACTCGTGGTATCTCGACAGCGGTTGTTCAAAGCATATGACAGGTGATAAATCAAAATTCCTCTCACTAGAAGACTACCCTGGAGGAACAGTAACCTTTGAAGATAATAAGAAGGGAAAGATCATTGGAAAAGGCAAAATTGGTAGATCAAAATCTCATTCCATTGATAACGTGTTCCTGGTCGAGGGCTTAATGCACAATTTGCTCAGTATATCACAATTTTGTGACAAAGGAAACTCTGTAAGTTTTACTTCTGATTCTTATAACATCATCAACAACAAGTCAGGAAAGGTAGTTCTAGAAGGAACAAGAAGAGGGAACACTTATACAGTTGACCTCAACTTAATCCCAAGGAACAACCTTACATGTCTGAGTGTTGTTGAAGATGATCCCCTGCTATGGCATAAACGTTTTGGACATGCTAGCTTTTCAATACTGGACAAGCTAAGGTCAAGGAACTTGGTTGTGGGACTTCCTATTATCAAGTTCCTACAGAACAAAGTTTGTGATGCATGTATGAAAGGCAAGCATGTTCGCTCATCTTTTAAATTGAAGAAAATGGTGAGCACTACAAAGCCTTTGGAATTAATCCATATGGATTTGTGTGGTCCCATGAGAATTCAAAGCAGGAGTGGCAAGAAATATGTTTTGGTTATTGTTGATGATTATTCTAGATTCACTTGGGTTATTTTTCTTGCTAGTAAAGATGAAACTTTTAACGAGTTTGTTGCCTTTGCCAAGAAAATACAGAAAATCAGTGGTCACTCCATAGTCCATCTCAGATCAGATCACGGAACTGAATTTGAGAACTCAAGATTCAATGAGTTTTGCAGGGAAAATGGCATGAATCATAACTTCTCAGCTCCAAGGACTCCCCAACAGAAAGGAGTTGTAGAAAGGAAGAATCGAACCCTTGAGGAAATGGCTAGAACGATGCTGATTGCAAGTGGATTGCCAAGGAACTTCTGGGCTGAAGCCGTGAATACAGCATGTTACATCCTTAACAGGGTAACAATCAGAAGTATCATCAACAAGACTCCCTATGAACTATTCAGGGGAAGAAAGCCAAACATATCTCATCTTAGAGCCTTTGGTTGTAAGTGATTTGTACACAACAATGGTAAGAAAAACCTAGGGAAATTTGATGAAAGAAGTGAGGAGGCCATATTTCTAGGATATGCCTCTGATAGCAAAGCTTATAGAGTTTACAATAAAAGCTCAATGTGTGTTGAGGAAAGTATTCATATAATTTTTGATGAAGTTACCATTCAGGTATCGAGGTTCCCATCCAACTGATCTAATTATCAGTGATATAGGAAAAGGAACTCAAACAAGATCACAAATGAGGAACTACTGCACATTCCATGCATTTCTGTCCATTCTAGAACCAAGAAATCATCAAGAAGCCTTGGGAGATGCTGATTGGATAGTGGCCATGCAAGAGGAACTCAATGAGTTTGAAAGGAACAAGGTCTGGCACCTTGAGCCAAAGCCTAAGGGAAAGAAAATAATTGGGCTCAAATGGGTGTTCAGGAACAAGCTTGATGAACATGGCACCATAGTAAGGAACAAGGCTAGATTGGTTGTGAAGGGCTACAACCAACAGGAAGGTATTGATTTCGATGAAACCTTTGCTCCTGTAGCTAGGTTAGAAGCTATTAGAATCCTAGTGGCTTTTTCTTCTTTTATGGGTTTCAAACTCTATCAAATGGATGTGAAATGTGCTTTTCTAAATGGTTTCTTAAATGAGGAGGTGTTTGTTGAACAACCTCCAGGTTTCAAAATTCCTAAATTTCCAAATCATGTTTTTAAGCTTGATAAAGCTCTCTACGGGATTAAACAAGCTCCAAGAGCCTGGTATGAAAGGCTTTCAAAGTTCCTACTGAAAAATGATTTCAAAAGAGGAAAAGTAGACAAAACTCTTTTTCTTAAATCTCGAGGAACTGATTTGTTAGGTGTACAGATCTGTGTAGATGATATTATATTTGGTGCTACTAACAATGGTTTGTGCAAGTACTTTGCTGAGCTAATGGGTGGTGAGTTTGAGATGAGCATGATGGGTGAATTAAATTTCTTCCTTGGACTTCAAATAAAGCAAACAGCTGAAGGAATAATGATTCACCAACAGAAGTATGTCAAGGAACTTCTGAAGAAGTACAACATGGAAAATGCCAAGACAAATCATACTCCTATGGGAACAGCAACAAGACTTGATGAGGATCCACAAGGAACAAGTGTGGATCAAACCACTTACAGAGGTATGATCGGTTCATTGTTATATCTAACAGCCAGTAGGCCTGACATTTCCTTTAGTGTTGGATTGTGTGCTAGATTTCAGTCTAATCCTAAAGAATCACATCTAACGGCTGTTAAGAGAATTTTGAGATACCTCAAAGGAACAGATGACTTGTGTCTGTTCTATCCTAGAAGTGATGACTTTATGCTTAGAGGATTCACAGATGCTGACTATGCAGGTGACCTAGTCAATAGGAAAAGCACCTCAGGTATGGTTCAGTTCCTTGGCTCTTGTCTAGTTTCTTGGGGCTCCAAGAAGCAAAATACTGTTGCATTGTCTACTGCAGAGGCTGAGTATGTAGCAGCAGCTGCTTGTTGCTCTCAAGTCCTCTGGATAAAACAACAGTTACGTGACTTTGGTATTAAATTTAATTGCTTTACTATCTACTGTGATAACACTAGTGCAATTTGCATATCTAAAGATCCAGTCCATCATTCAAGAGTTAAGCATATTCATATAAGGCATCATTTCCTTAAGGATAATGTTGAAAAGGGTTTAATTAAATTAGATTTCTGCCAAACTAACAATCAAATTGTAGATATATTAACAAAACCCTTGAATAGAGAAAGGCATGAGAAGATGAGAATGGAACTTGGGATGATTAAGTTATACTAAGAAAAATGCATCAAGTTCCCTCAGATATGAAACTCAAACTGACGTGCTTAAACTATTGTATACTGTGCACAAGTGTTATATGTTTAATTACATAGTTAAGGCAAGTTGTGAGCAAGAGTAACATTTACTAAGGGCATGTAAATTTGAAAGTCATAGATATTAGAAATCAAAAATTGATTGCATGAGCCTTGTTGAATTGTTCCATGTATCAAGTTGTATTTGCAAGTGGTTTATTAATTGAATTCAAAAGATAAAATTATTGTGTTTATCTGATCTTCAAAATTCCATTTTTTTAAACACTAAATTCAGATGAATGTATCATAATTCATCATTATCTTTTGTTCAAAAAGGGCCGACATCCATTACTATCTTGAAACACGGTTTGCGTTTCCCTAAGCGTTAAATAGGAGTGTCTAATCAACTAAATTCACCTCACCTCTCAAACGAAACCTCACTTATTCACTCCCTCAAGTTACCTCCACCATAAAAACATGTCAACCTCACCAAAATTTACACCACTCAAAAATTACCCTATCTCTCATCACTCCGATCAAAATTTCTCACCAATGTCTGTCTCACCAAAAACCCAAACTGAGGTCGAAGAACACACAAACCCTATTCCAGAAATCACCATGGAAATCATCCCCGAAACTCAAAATCCTGAGCCTCAAAATCCTGAGCCTCAAAAGAAGGAATCTTCTACTGAGTCTAATTCTTCCCGAAAAAGAAAAATCGAGGACATGCAATGATGCAAGTCTAAGAATGGAGAACTTCGAAGATTTTCTTATCATGCATCAAGATAGTTTATCCCTAAACATTGATTCAAGCCAAGCATTGCATGGACACTTTCTTGGATATCAAAGCAAAGCCACGGTTTGCTTAGTGGTTTTTCTTGGAGTCTAGTTCACTTTCTTGAACTTTCTTGAATTTTTTTTACTTAGATTTTGCTTACAAGTTTTTACCTTTCACTTGAAAGGTTTTTTCTTGGTTCAAGCATTAGGATCTTTAATCTTTATTTAGTTCTTTAATTTTTATTTATTTATTTAGTTGCTTTAAAAATCAGTTAGCTATCAAAATAAATCAGTTTAGGCGTGTGCTTGTTCTCCAAGGAGTTTGGTGTATGCTTGTGCGCCAAGGTGCTTGCTCTTCAAGCAAGTTAGAATTCTAGTTTAATTAGGATTGAATTAGGAACTTGTCCTAATCTTCCTAGGTAAACTAAGTCTTATAAATAGGGCTGTAAAACACATGAATAAACATAGAGAGATTAATATTCAGATTTATTTCTTAAGTTGCATACTTGAGTTTTTGTTGATTGCGATCAATTGCTGTTTTGCTTGTTTTAGTTAAAACATTCGTTTTGATTGATTAATTAGGTAGATTCTTAATTGATTAATCTTAGTTTTTGTTTAATTCTTGGTGGATTTCCTGTATAGAATTAGACTTAAACATATCCCTTGTGTTTTGTTGATTTTCGGATCAATAATTCACATCATCTTTGGTATCAGAGCAGGTTTGCGCAAATTCGGTAAAAATTAAACTGGGAACAATTGGCTGGAAAGTTTTACGTGATTCTTTTCGAATTGAACTCTAAAAACGTCCAGCTATCACCATATAAAATGTCATAATTTTTAGTTGAGTAACGCGCTCTACACAGCCTCAAACGTTTGGTGTTTGTGCACTGATTTGCGGTTGGGAGTCCGGTTCTTGTGATGCCTAGTTTTCCTTCAAGGTTCGATCATTTAATCAAGATTTTTGCATAAACTGACTTGGTTTGTGTAGGAATCATGAGTGACGAAGATGTTCCACAAGTTCCAAGGGGATTAACCTTAGAACAGGCTCAAAATCTTAGAAGAGATAGGCGAATTGACGAGTTGGCAGCAAGGATGGATGAGATATTAAAAAGGCTTGATACTCTTGCTGGAGATTCTTCAAGGAAAGGGAATTCTAACCCTAATTCTGGTTCAAGTGAGGAAGAACAACCAAGGAGGAACCCAAGGAGGCCACGAAATAATTATTCCTCAAGTGATGAATCACCAAGGCCTAGGAGAAGAGATAGACCAAAGGATGATGATAGGAACCTTAGATTAGATCTTCCCGAATTCAATGGGAGTATGAATGAACCTGAAAAATACTTTGAGTGGATTAGAAGGGCCGAGTCACTCTTTGATTACAAGGAGTATGATGAAAGGAAAAGATGCAATTGGATGAATTAAAACTGACCGGTTATGCTAGTCTTTGGTACGATAATCTGAAGAAGAAGAGGCATAAGGAGGGGCGTGCAAGAATCTCAACTTGGGAACAACTCAAGAAGCACATGAAAAAAGGTTCGTACCTAGTAATTATATTCAAGATGTTTATCTTAAGATGCAACTTTTTAAACAAAATTCTATGACTGTTGAGAATTATATTGGTGAATTTGAAAAGTTATGCATGCTATGTGGCTTAGAAGAGATTGTTGAGCATAAGATTGCTAGATTTATTTTGGGGTTGAATGATAATATTGCTGAAAAAGTTGAATTGCAACAATATTGGTCCTTTGATTATGTTTGCAAGGTAGCTTTGAAAGTTGAAAAACAGATAAAGGGGAAGAAAGGGACGTACACTAAGCCCTTTGTAAAAGGTTTCACGAATTGGAATCTGTTTTAGAAGAATTCAAGGATGTCTTTCCTAAGGAATTACCTTTGGGACTACCTCCTATTCGTGGGATAGAGCATCAAATTGACTTGATTCCGAGAGCACCATTACCTAATAAGGCAGCCTATAGAAGTAATCCGGAAGAAACAAAGGAGATGCAAAGGCAAATTGAAGAGCTTATGGCTAGAGGATACGTGAGGGAAAGTATGAGTCCTTGTGCCGTGCCTACTTTACTTGTCCCAAAGAAAGATGGGAGTTGGCGCATGTGTATTGATAGTAGGAGTGTGAATAACATCACTATCAAATGCCGATTTCCTATTCCAAGGTTAGATGATCTACTTGATGAACTACATGGTTCAAAGTTGTTTTCTAAGATTGATCTTATGAGTGGTTATCATCAAATTCGCATGAGAGAAGGAGATGAGTGGAAGATAGCATTCAAGACTAAGTTAGGGTTGTATGAATGGTTGGTGATGCCGTTTGGACTCACTAATGCACCTAGCACTTTCATGAGGTTGATGAATGAGGTACTTAAACCTTTCCTTGGCAAGTTTGTTGTTGTTTATTTAGATGATATTCTGATATACTCTAAAAATTTGCATGATCATCTAAATCATCTAACAAGTGTGTTTGAAGTGTTAAGAGAGAAGAAACTCTATGCTAAGCTTGAAAAATGCTACTTCATAGTGCCTAGTGTTACTTTTCTTGGTTATGTTGTATCAAAAGATGGAGTTTCAGTTGATCATTCGAAAGTAGAGGCTATTAAAACTTGGCCTATTCCTACTAATATGAGTGAAGTAAGGTCTTTTCATGGTCTAGCTTCGTTCTATAGAAGATTTGTCAAGAATTTCTCAAGTATTGTGGCGCCTATGACCGAATGTTTGAAGAAGGACAAGGGTAAATTCGAATGGACTAAAGAAGCTTAAAGTGCGTTTGAGTTGGTTAAAAAGAAGCTATGTGAAGCACCTATACTTGTGTTACCAGATTTCTCAAGTCCTTTTGAAGTTGAAACCGATGCTAGTGGAGTTGGAATTAGAGCAGTTTTACTCCAAAAGAAGAGGCCTATTGCATATTTCAGTGAGAAATTAAGTGGAGCTCGATTGAACTATTCTACTTATGATAAAGAGTTCTATGCCATTGTTAGAGCTTTAGATCATTGGAGTCATTATCTCCGACCTAATCACTTTGTGTTGCATTCTGATCATGAAGCATTGAAGTACATACATGGACAACAAAAGCTCAATCCTAGACATGCTACGTGGGTTGAATTTTTACAATCATTTAATTTTTCTTCAAGGTACAAAGAAGGGAAATCGAATGTTGTGGCTAATGCATTATCTAGAAGATACACTTTGATTGGAATTCTAAATAGCAAGCTACTTGGTTTTGAATTGATCAAAGAATACTATAAAAGTGATGATGATTTTGCTAC